GTGTGTGTGTGTGTGCGTGTGTCTGTGTATGAATGTGTGTGTGTGTGTGTGTGTGTGTGTGTGTGTGTCTGTGTATGAATGTGTGTGTGTGTGTGTGTGTGTGTGTGTGTGTGTGTGTGTGTGTGTGTGTGTGTGTGTGTGTGTGTTAGAGCTGCACAATTAATTGAAAAAACATCATGATCTCTATTCGACCCCCCACATGATCTTAATCCAGCATTTCTACGATTCGCCAATTATATTTTCGAGGTCAGCAGAGAAGCGTACAGGCGCTCGCACAAGTCTTCACGTTGTTTTATAGACATTACCATGATAGCAGCACGAACACCTCCAAATGGCGTTAAAAAGTCACGTACTGTATTTATGAGGTATAATTCACCCCAAAATGTCATTTGTCTTAATGTAATGATGTAATCACAGCCGCGAAATCACACGTAAGCTGACGCACTGTGTTTACAGAGACGATGATGTCGACTTTAGTGAACAGATCCTGCATAGGCTGCAAATAACTAAAAACACAAATAACGTTCCCAGAGTGACGGCAGCATGATGTGAGTGCACTCAGCAGTGTGACTGAAAGTGAGCACTTCATTTAAACGATCACATCACATTTTAGAGTTCTGATTAGCACAAGCGTCTGATATGTTTCTCTTTCATAGTGAACACAGAGCGTTGTGCACAAGATTACACGTTTACCATGTCAGTATAACTGCTGTAGCCTGTATAATGATGAACATAGAGCAGGAGGAAATCTGATCATGACTAATGTCTGAATTTACCAGTCAATAATATGCTCTGATAATGTTAGTTAATGACGGGCAGATGTCTCAAACACAATAATTCTAATCATGAATAATTATATTCTGATGTCGTCACTTTACTGAGAATGAACAAGCAGGATGTGTTTAAAGTCATTCCAAGTCTATGATACATGTATAATGTAAGCCATGAGTAGAGCTGCACACAGGCCTGATGCTATTACTGATGTCCACATGATGCTTGAGAATAACAATAACAATAGCAGACTCATATTCTTTAACAAACACACTCTTTAACCCATCAGAGTGAACACCGCCCACCACACATCAGACACTAAACACCGCCCACCACACATCAGACACTAAACACCGCCCACCACACATCAGACACTAAACACCGCCCACCACACCGCCCACCACACATCAGAGAGTGAACACCGCCCACCACACCGCCCACCACACATCAGACACTAAACACCGCCCACCACCCATCAGACACTAAACACCGCCCACCACACATCAGACACTAAACACCGCCCACCACACATCAGACACTAAACACCGCCCACCACACATCAGACACTAAACACCGCCCACCACACATCAGACACTAAACACCGCCCACCACACATCAGACACTGAACACCGCCCACCACACATCAGACACTAAACACCGCCCACTACACATCAGACACTGAACACCGCCCACCACACATCAGACACTAAACACCGCCCACCACACATCAGACACTAAACACCGCCCACCACACATCAGACACTGAACACCGCCCACCACACATCAGACACTGAACACCGCCCACCACACATCAGACACTGAACACCGCCCACCACACATCAGACACTGAACACCGCCCTCCACACATCAGACACTAAACACCGCCCACCACACATCAGACACTGAACACCGCCCACCACACATCAGACACTGAACACCGCCCACCCCACATCAGACACTGAACACACTCTTCAACACATCATGCAGTGGTATTATGTAATAACACTGATCAATAAAGAAGAGTGTATTACCCTGGGTTGTCAAGGGTGTGTGTGTATGCATCTGTGTTCATGTGTGTGTGTGTGTGTGTGTGTCCAACAGGTGCGGCTTTCTGTTCATCCTTTGCTGCTCAGCATGGGCCGCACCATCCTGAAAGGTGAAGCACACACACACAAACTGTATTATTATGATTAACTCTCTCTAATACAGATGATTGACTGTAAAGTATATCTGTGTATGTGTGTGTGTGTGTGTGTGTTTGTGTGTGTGTGCAGATATTGATCACTCTTGACTCTTGTGCAGATCATAAAGACAGCAGGAAGGATAAAGTAGGCAGGAGTGTGTCTCTTTCAGGTCCTGGAGCCGTCAAAGGTAAAAAGGATCTGACACACACACACATACACACACACACACACACACACACATACACACACACACACACACAAACACACACTCTTTCTCTGCTGGAGCTGACCTGACCTGATATCAGTGACGTGTGTGTGTGTGTGTGTGTGTGTGTGTGTGTGTGTTTGTGCGCACATGTGCAGGCATGGAGTTCAGCTGGGAGGATTATCTGAAGGAGACGGCGTCTGTTCCTGCACCGCACAGCTGCTTCAGACAGGTCTCACTCACATACACACACACACTTCATAAACACACACGCTCACATGCACACACACACAGACACATACACACACACACACACACACGCACACACACACACACACACACGCACACACGCACACACACACAC